GGGGTGTCGTGACATGGGCTTTGTCCTCGCCCATCCTTGCCCATCTCTTTTATCCTTTATCTTTGCCCATCTCTTCCTTTATCCTTGTCCACCTCTTCTCCTTTTTTATCCTTGCCCATCTCTTCTCCTTTTATCCTTCCCAACCTCTTCTCTCCAGCCTGCCTGCAGGATGTCTCCTCCCTCAGAGATGTCAATACAAAAGGCCCAGTAAAGACCTCGCGGGATGCTTCTAACCTTGGCCAGATAATGACATCTGGAAGTACCTGCTTCTCTCTGGGCTCTAAAGACAGCCCTGACGAGCTCTGCCATCATATCTCATGGAGGAAAGCTCACACAGCACAGATCTAAACGAATTCCCACCTTCAGTGACTCAATGTGAACAGTCTTCTGGCTGCTTAAACGGGGCATCTCTAACCCCCCAGCTTTACCCACCACAGATGTGTCACACCCAGAACATATGTGACTCTAAAAGGCAACACTAGAGCTGCTGGCAAGGGAAGCCAAGTGAGCCTGCTTGACATTCAGCCTGAGCATGAGGCCAGAAATGATGCACAAGACTCCTCCTCAACTGCCTCCACAGCCTGGCAGCACGTTCCTCGGGGCCTTCTCTAACAGCCTTGGCTTAATGCACTGATCCTGATCCCGCCACTGCTCTAGAGAGTCTGTGATGCACTATTTGACACCCCTGAACAAGGAAGGAGAGAGCAGAGGTCCTGCCTCTCCTGTTTCTTGCACAACAACAGGCTCCCAGCATCATCTGGACACGGGAGAGGTTTGGGACTCACATCATCCAGCCTCCGGTCCGTGCCCAAGGCGAGCAGGTTGTTGAACTCCCTCTCCAGCACTTGTCGAGCCTGAAAGGAACAAACCATGAACATTCCCTGTCAACAGAGATGGGTCCCAGCACAAAACCCCATCCCAGGAAAGCCTGAGAATGGCAAAGAAAAAGCCCACATGCCATCTGAGTGCTCTGCTTGGAAGGCAGAGGTGAGTTGGTCCACAGGGGTGGGGACTGGCCTCTTCTCCCAGGGGACAGGACAAGAGGAAAGGGCCTCAAGTTGTCCCAGGGGAGGTTGAGGTTGGCCCTGAGGATCAACTTCTTCCCCTTGAGGGTTGCCCAGGGCTGTGCCAGGCTGCCCAGGGCAGTGGTGGAGTCCCCACCCCTGGAGGGGTTCCCAAGCCCTGAAGATGTGGTGTGAGGGACATGGCTTAGCAGTGGACTAGGCAGAGTTCAGTTAATGGTTGGACTCAACCACCTTCAAGCTCTTTTCCAACCTAAACAATCCTGTGACTCCACGACTGGCCGAGTCACACCGCAGCCGTGTGGGGCACCCTCCAATCCAACCCCTCGGGGATGCTGCTCTGACCTGTGTGTTCTGCGTGGGGATCTGCAAGACGAGTGCCAGGCTGTTGTGGTCAAAGTTCTCATCCAGGGCCAGGAGTGCCCCGTGCACCCCGCTCTCCACGAGGTTGTTGGCGTACTCGCGGAGCCCGATGGACTGGATCCAGTGGATGACCTGGTCGTTGGTCCACACCAGCACGTCTGCCAAAGAGCGAGGGCATGTCTGAGGGCCAGCTGAACAATCCTGTGACTCCACGACTGGCAGAGTCACACAGGGCACCCTCCAATCCAACCCCCCGGGGATGATGCTCTGACCTGTGTGTTCTGCGTGGGGATCTGCAAGACGAGTGCCAGGCTGTTGTGGTCAAAGTTCTCATCCAGGGCCAGGAGTGCCCCGTGCACCCCGCTCTCCACGAGGTTGTTGGCGTACTCGCGGAGCCCGATGGACTGGATCCAGTGGATGACCTGGTCGTTGGTCCACACCAGCACGTCTGCCAAAGAGCGAGGGCATGTCTGAGGGCCAGCTGATGTCCAGGATGTCCTCAAGGCCTTTCGCTGATCCCAGGACTCCTTCCTGAGCCAGCAGCAGTATGGGGTGCTCAAGTGCCAGGAATAGCTCACTTCAATTTAACCCAACTGGATGTTGGAGTAACAGCCAGAAAACAACTGCGAAAATTAATCCTATGAGCTCACGGCTGCTGGGGTAATTAGGGGCATTAGCAATAATGAGATGTAATCTAAGCAGCAGCCAGATGCCCAGGGAATCTCAGGACAGCCAGCAAGAAAGGGGAGGCTGAGCGAGCGGGGGGTGTCCTGAGCTTCTGAAATGGGCAGGAGAAGAAGATCTGATGCTCGGGCTGGATCTCCCCTGTCTTGCCACCCTTCCTCATGCCTGACTGGGGCAAGCAGCATAAAGACACCTGGAGCAACCTCTTGGGGACACACTGCAGGGAGGTCCCCTCTGGAGAGCAGCCCTGGGGACACGGCTGCTCGGAAAGAACAATTTCCCCTCGTGAACGCTGTGTTAAGAAGAGGGACAGGAGAGGGACCATCTCTGGGCAGCCCTTGAGAGGTTCCTCATCTCTCCCAGAGCTGGACCACGTGTGCAGCTGCTGACCTTTGATTTCATGCTGGGTTTCCTCTCGCCTCCTCTCCAGCTCTTTGCGGTCGTAGTTGAGCCTCTTCAGGCACATGATGCCGTACTGCAGGCTGGTGCTGCAAGGACACCAGATGTCACTCCACCCTCAGAAGCATCAGCAGGGGCAGGTGGCTTGGAGGGACCCACGGAAGGATCCACTCCCCTGTCTGCCCTCCGTGTGCCCAAAGAATGCTTTGGTTCAGGGTTGGGTCGGGACAGACAACCCAAAGGGAAGATCTTAGCTGGAAAATGAGGAATGTGCCCCCCCTGCCATGCTAACTCCCCACTCCAACAGTTTTGCCTGCCTGAGAGCATGTGGATCCAAGTGAAGATACTCCAGGCTTGGTGGCTGGAGAGGGGAAGGAGAACCAGCCCATCCCCACAGCAGGGAGGGCCCTGGCAGGCCCAAGGACACAACCCCATGGGTCAGGGGGGATGGGGGCCCCCCATGACAGGGCTGGATACTGGTGCTTGGGCGAGGTGGTTGAGATGGCATAAGCCTTCTCCAAGCTGGGCTGCTGGCAGATGACTGCTCTGCTCTGCCTGCCAGTGGAGCACCAGATGGGATAAACCTTTACTTTTGCCCATGGCTTGCTCCACGGCCAGGAGGAGGGTTGGTCCTCTTGCCATTTTGCTGCAAGGAGCATGATGAAGGAGAACATTTGACCATTGACCAAGTGGTTAAGTTTAGCCTAGAAGAACCATCCTCCAGCACCAGGGCTGGCCAAGACAGGGGAGAATCCCTCAGACCACCCCACCCTCATCTCCATGTGCAGACACAGCAACCCAGGGACCTCCTGAAGGAGAGGACTCACCGGTGGAAGCTGTCCACCATCTTCAAGTGCACTCTGAGATCTTTCTTGGTGAGGTGGTCCAGCATCCGTGCATCAACAAGACACTCCATGAAGTAGCTGCGATACTGTGGGAGGCCCAAGCTGGGCAGCCACTCGTTCCCAATCCACTCATGGTTCATGTCCCCATAGGCCAGGGTCTGTGGAGATGCAAGTGGAGATGCTAGGGAGAAGCCAAGGCTTGGCAGAGCTGCACCAAGGAGACTGGTGACAGCTCAGTGCTGCAGCTTGGGTGTCCCTGTCCTGAGGACCCAACCCAGACCAGAGGAGCTGAACCCCACTGGCCATGGTCTGTGCCCTGCTGATGTCCCCCCAGGAGACCAGGCAGTAGCCAAAAAACAAGCATGAGGGACAGCTGGACTTTAAGACCAGCTTCTTCTGGAAAAACTACACTCATGAAAGCTGAAGCAACTACAAAAGAGGTTTCAGTGCATTCCCAGATGATTTTGAGGAGCTTAGAAATTACCTAAAGATCTACTTTATGACTTCTAAATGAAAAAAAAGAAAAAAAAGGTCAGTTCTGGGCAGAAGAAAAACCACCTTTCACCTTCACTGAAACTCCTTCTGGGTCTGAAACCACAATAAAATCTGCCAGAAGTAAAACATTTGAGAGTGATAAAACCAGAAGTGATGGTCCAAGCAGGGCACCTTCCTCCCACCTTTTCAGCTCATGAAAATGCTCCATATCCTGAGCTTGGGTCTAAAATAAAGGTGGAAACTAAAAGCCTGGGCACTAGAAACCTGCCTCCCAGGCAGGGTGGCTGGTCCCTCTTAGGTGAGGGTTTTTACCACAGGATCTGTATCTCACAGAGGAGTTCCCAGAAGAAGTCACCCTGCCTGAAACAGAGGAGGACAGTGCTTGATGGGGGTCCCAGGAGGACCACCCTGTCCTTGAATGTTGGCTCAGAGGAGCGACCACAGGGTGCAGGTTCAGATTCCAACAAGGATTGGGCCAACTCCTGATGCCCCAAGCTCAGCTCCAGGGTGCCCCATGATGTCCAGCTCCCCCTCCCACACCCACCCCACACACCGCCCCCAGAAAAGGGTGACCCAGGGACCTCACCTGTGCCCAGCTGCCTTCCTCTGTGTCCTAAGCGTGACACATGCAGCATGTCAACAGAAAGGACAAGTCAAGTCAGTACCTGGTGGCCCTGCCCTGTGACAGCATCTGCCGTGGGTGCTGAGCGTGGGCAGGGTGTGACCCAGAGGGCACGGGGGTCAGGGTGCTCGGGGAGCTCAGCCTTGTCAGGAGGGTGCTGGGGACACCCTGACCCTTCTGGACCCAACTTCCACCCCATCCCCCTGACAGGGATGGACACCAGGGCTCAAACATCTCTCCTGGTGGTTCTTGGGTCCCCCAAAGACAGAAGGATGCAGAAAGAACTCAGAGCTTCAGCTTGTGGGTTACAACCCCCCGAGGGGCTGCCCAGCCCAATCCTGCTGTTGCCATTGCCTCCCTTCTGCTCAGTGTCCCAAAACCTGCCAAGGGGAAGTGTCACATCCCTGCTGACCCTCCAGGTTCTCCTTCCCCAGGAAGGAGCTGCCTGTGCCAGGTCTGCACTGCCCAGCCAGCAGACAAAGCCTTCAAGGAAATGCCCAATTCACACAACAAATCCAAAATCCTGCTCCTGCTCTGAGACCTGGACAAGGGGTCGTTAAGCTGCACAGAGGGCAGCTCAGCTGCATCTCTCCAAAGGAGCCAGAGCTTTTGGGAGCTCCCATCCCTCTGAGGGACCCCAGGACAGCTGGACCCCAGGACAACCAGCGATGGGGACAGGCAGTGGGGACATTTGAGTGTGCTCAGGTCAATGGGAGATCCAGCAGTGACTTCTCTGGGTGCAGAATGACCAGTGTGGGACTCAACCATGCATCTATCTCGAGATCACTCTTGGGTTATGTCTTCCATCCCTTTCCTCCACCTCACAACCGACAGAGAAACCCAGCAGAACCCACAGGGCCCTGACAAAGGAAAATGCTTCTGATGTTGCTGAAGCCAGTTTTAGAAATTGTTGAGAGATTAAAGGTTTAAAGATGGTTTCTAAGCAGGTGCATGGTGGTGGCCAGGAGCTGGCACAGGGGCTGCAGCAGAGGTGCCCTCCCCTCCCTGCCAGGGTTCAGTGTGTCCATGCTGGGTAACCGAGCAGCAGTGGGGCTGCTCAGCCTCACCGTCTTGGTGGAGGTGGCCATGTTCTCCATCTCCTCGTGGGTGACCCAGACGTTTCCAGAGGACTGCAAGAAAAAGAGCAGGGGGGACAGGGTAAACCACCACTCAGTTCACAGCCACGCTGGAAACGAGCCCGGCTCAGCCTGATGTGGGATCAGGCCACCCTTGCACTTGGAGCTGTACTGGGGAGACCTTACAGCTCAGGCTGGTGGCACCCACCACCCGTGGGGACCCTGGGCTGTCCACGCAGCCATGGAGAGCACAGTGAGGACCACTGGCCCTTTGGCTGCCTTTACACTTTGGTGTTGTGCTGGTGGACCTGCAGGCTTGTTTCTGACCACTGCGACCCCAGCCATGGCCATCTGAGGTGGACACAGCACGCCTGGGGCCCTTCCTTCTGCTGCCTGAACTTCTACAGATGTCTCCTGGCATTACTGGGGCACCATTAAACCCTCAGGGAGTTTGGGGATCAGCACAACACCCGATCCCTCCATGTGAGGGACTGGTGGCCGACGGACCCCCGTGGCCC